TGCCGTTTACCGCTTGTCGCTATCTTGCTTCGTTCTCGAGATCTCAGGGGGGGGCGGTCATCCGCCCCCCCCCCCCGTCGGTACTAAGTTGGCGCAGACCCCCGTCGGTGCGCGGGTTAAGACTCGGTAGACCCAATGGAGGAGTGTTGCAAATGCAATTGCGGAAAGGCTGAAGCATGTCTTTCAACTGATGCTGAGCGGTAAAGGGTCCCAGGCCAAGAAGCATTTATATTCTGAGAAGGAACAGGCAGAAAATTACTGTGAAGCAGGAGGGAGAACAAATGGATTTCTGTCTTTGTCCAATAGTGATACACAAGCAGTCGTTTGTGTGGATTGTGATGTTATAATGTATGTGATTGGTTATAGGTGAATAAATGAACATCGATAGAAAACATACGCACATTCATTGCCAATTATTTAGGTGTACTCTATGTCAGAGTATATTGTTACGTATTTTATGTCTAAGTAATGCCGTTTTTGCTTCCATGTGATTGACCGCACTTATCGCGATTGCGCTATTTTGTGCTAAGCCTGTGGTGTGGACATTATATTGATTAGGGTGCTGCGGTAGGAATGTTTGTAAAATTGGCAACATCGCTAACCGTTTCAAACGTTCTATCCCTATCTAATTATTTACTTGCATATGGAATGATACGATGTAATTGATGAAATATGAGTATCTGTTGTTACCAGTCGCAGGGAAGGGGTAGTTGTACGACGTGTTTTTGTCGTGCCTGCCACCGGGCCCATCTGTCTGCCATTGTGTTTCTCAATTTCCCTATTGCAGTCGTGTCGATGGGAGCTGAGACTTTAGAGCTCGTCATGAAATGTGTTCTTCTTCAAGGGTAGGTGCGCAAGTTGCTTGATGGTGCATGACATACGGAGCAATGATGCCGTGCAAAGTCAATGATGGCTTTCTGGTGATTTTCCAGCAATTCCTATTATATACAGTGCATAGAACTGATAGAACATAGAACTGTAAGTGCATAGAACTGATATAAATATTGTTGGTCGTTCTGGAATATATTTTTGACCTCGCTGACCCCAACTGCGTTTCGGTACGCTGATAATACATTATGAAATAGTGCTGCGCTTTAAATTAAACTGCTGCAATGTGACAGGGCATCAGCCAGATCCGGACACATCAGGTATACCGTGGATGATGATGAAACACTGCAATTCACTATAATGTCAGCCGCCACTCATAGGTGACCGATGGATACTGCGCGGGCACAGTGCACTGAGCGACAACCGGTGCTCATTTTAGCCCGATGTGGTGAGGCGCAGACGATATTCGATGCATAATTGACAGGTGAATGTCTCCTTTGGACGGGTAATATTGACTAGGAAAATATTAATGAGTAGAGGGGTGGGTCCGAGAGGCTGCGATCACACTGGCAGGGTGTTTGTGGTAAACAGTCCCGGTCGGCGGTCCTATCGGGCCATCGGACCGGTGACAGAGGTGACTGATCAGATCAGGTACCACCCGCCCGGCCCTCCGGAGGCAGCGGCTCGGGTTCCCACGACGCGCTGCTGCCCGTGTAGACGAGAGGAGACAATCGGAGGGGACGGGTAACATTATCATCACCACTGCTGGCACACAGCTGAACCCCTGGCTGGCTTTATTATCGAAAGTCACGGCTGATTTGGCAAACGAGCCTGTATTTGTGCGTCGTGCGTCGGGAACCAAGTATGATGTGCAGCGTACTATACCATTGTCAACGCTGATTGCGCCGAGAGTCGTGTACTTTGGCAATCAGTCACCAAGGTATGTGTGAATAGCAATGTGCGTTACTGTTGAGTCAATCAGCAGAAGTTGCTCAGCGTCTCCGATGAAGTCGGTCGGTATTGCCAAAGAACTGTGGGCGGATGGAAGCCACAACTGCAACAAGTACCAATTGTCTTTTCCCTATTGTTAATAATCATTCTGAAGCATCAATAACACCAATAAAAGTATTTTACCCGTGCAATTCAAAGATTGTGTAAACCGATGACGCACACCTCCGTCAAATTCGTCACCTGCCTCGATATTTATTGCGTAAAGGCATGAACAAATTTGTACCCACATCTGAAAAAGTCAGGCCACCAAGTCACGTTAAGTGACCTGACCTCATATTACGGAGGTTTAGCATCTTGCCGTGGTAACATTTATGACTGACAAGTGACATGTTTTAAAACTTATGAAACGAAACATATTCATACAGGGCTTTAATTTGTATATCGTTTTTATTAGTAAACTATCGCCGGGTCATTATAAGTCACTGAGATATCTTTTAAGTCCTAGGGCTTAACCCTCGCCCTGGCAGGGCATTTTTCATAACACGGCCTGGCAGGGGGGGGGGGGGGAGATGCGACCCCCCTCGCGATTGGCTCCTATGGCACCTAGAAACACCAAATTTGGTAGGTAGGTGGGCCCCCTGGAGTTCTCGCCCCTGTGCAAATTTGGTTGCTCTTGGTCAATATTTAGGGGGGTTTTGGGGGGTATAAATGTAAAAATTTCGCGAAAAACAGGTCAAAGGGTTTTCGCTTATAACTTTTGATCTAATTAAGATAAAGCAAAAAGAAAAGCACCAGTGAACTCAGCACGTCAAGGCGCGTCGAATGATATACTTTTTAGCTTGCTTAAGTGTACTTAAAGTTTTTCTTAAATTTTAAGTAAACTTTAATTAATAAATAAGGTTCAAGTTAACCAAATTGCATCATATCGCTTATCATTCGATTCGGCTGATCACCAGGAACACAATGATACCATGTTTTAAGCTCTAGCGTCATTATGTGCCAAGTTATTGGCAAAAACGTCATTTGACCTCAGTTGACCTCATTTGGCCTGACCCATGGATAAGTACACCAAACAAAGAAGCACCAAGTGACCTGCTGTTAAGTACTGTGGCTTCAAAGCACAAAAGTGATAGAACGAAGCGGATATCTCCAGTATATTCCGAATTTAGTATTTTCCCATAGGCTTAACATTACGACGTAATGACCTCTAACTGACCTCAGGTCAGTGACCTCAAAAAACCCGAACTATATGTTATACAACTCGGTGAACTTAGCACATCCCGAAAGTTTGAAGGAAATCAGTCCAAAACTGTGAGTTGGACAGATGCAAAAAGAAAATTGAAATTTGACCATGACCTTGTACCGGTTTTTCTGACCTGGTGACCTGACCAAAGGTCACCCGGACCTGAGATTTGCAGGTCATATGTAAAAAGGCTGCCCCATAGGCTGTGCCAAATTTGGCGGCGCTGGGCGCCGCCGTTTTTACGCTATCTTCGAAAAACCTTAGGGGGGGGGGGGTCGCATCGACCCCCCTGCCAGGGCGAGGGTTAAGTCCCAGGGCCTGTTATTTCCAAAGGGTTCATCCATTTCTTGCAGGATTATGCCGTCCAAAGCAGAAGATACTTTCCATTTACAAAAAGTTTGCACATTCCAATTACTTTTGAAAGGGTTAATTGAGGCGATGCCGTAGTTCGTAGGACGTCTGCCACCATCCGCTTTGAGCCGATAACTCTCCACCATAACAAAAGTTAGGCTTGGAAGTGGTAACAGTAAGTAGTTTTCGACTGCGTTTTCGACTTTTTGCCTATTTGTTTGATTGTCGAGATTTATGAGGAGCAGAGAACTTTCCATGCCTCGCGATTTGGCTGATCATGTTTACGTATAAATCTTGCCCCTCCCTTCATTTATCCGCCTCTATTTATTCTCTCTCAGCCTACTCTCTCTCTCCTTGTTTCCCTTTAGCTTGGCCACAACAAAGAGCGTATACATACTCTATTCCTTTCATTTTTTTATCACACAATCTGCGTTCAGCCGATGGCGCCCTCCGGCGTTCCTTATAAGCTGCTGCCGGGCTGCCGGCCGCTCCAGTCCCGTCTCGCTCCTCACAAGATGCGCGTCCTCCCCCTGGTGTGTCTGCTGGCCTGCAGCATGGCGCTGCTGGCCGACGCCGAGCGGGTCCAGCCGGAGCTCCCCGCCGCCGCCGAGCCGGCGCCGCGCCTGCTGGGCCGGCCGCGCTCCTCCGGCCTGGAGAGGCTGGCCCAGGTGCTGCGCGACCTGCAGGCCAGCATGCAGGCGCGCCTCGACCTCACCAACCGGCTGATGGACGAGCTGCTCAGCGAGCAGAGGCTGCAGGGCGACCAGCTGACTTCCATCCGCGACCGGCTGCCGACAGACGACGGTCTCGGCCGCTGAGCTCGGTCACCGGCCACGGTCTACCGGTCAATGATCAGAAGGTCACCGACTCAGACCAGGAGCGCCGAGGACACTTGGAGATTGGAAGACACATGCCAGTGAGATTCAATATTTTTTTTTTTCACAAAAATGTGATCGCATGATTGAAATGAAGAAAACGATTGTCTATTTCAGCGATCGCAAAATAGCGTAGGCTGATTAATAATTATTGTATTTACACTCACGCGTATGAAATGTCAATACATGCTTTCGTCTAACGTTCGTTTTGAAAAGAAACACCAATAAACTTTTTTGCTACGGTATTTATGTATACATCGGGAACAGCTACGGACAGAACTGCTGACGCGAACAGCATACCTGAGGATATTGAGTGAATCAGCTGAGTTCTAGAATCACTTATGTTTTCTAGGCTGGTTGGAACCCTAGGACTCTCGTCCCTGAGTGCTTTCATTATTGCGTGTCAATAGCAAGGTCTTTCGGGAGGTTCGGGAGGAGAGGGGGAGGGGAGAGATGTTATCGGTACCGCGTCAATGCTTACGAACATTAGAAGCGTGTAGTTTCTTTTGAACACTGGAACATGTGCATTATATGCTTATATATGCCTAAATATAAACGAAGGAGGCGAGCTGCCGACTGGCACTACAGACCGCTACATATAGCCAGCCTTATGTATCGGTAAACAGTCGGTACTCGGGCAGCGCGGCCGTGACGCTGACGGTGACGGTGACGGACAGCCGTCGTCTGGGCAGGGGTCGGTCTCCGCGGGCGGGGGCGTCTCGTGCGGCACTCCCCCGCCGCGCCGCCCACCGTGCGCCATGGAGTCCCGCCGCCCGCCGCCGCCGCCGCCGCTCTTGGTTCTGGCGCTCCTGCTCCTGACGGCGGCTGCTGCCGTCCACGGCCAGTCCATTGACGACTGGTTCACTGACGAGGAGCTGCGCGAGCTAGACATGGAGCCCGAACGGGGACCGAGCGGCTCCGTGGAGGGCTTTCGGACCGAGTTCCTGAGCCGCGGCCGACGCCGATCGTTCCGCGGTCAGAGGCAGTACCAGGTTCGGCTGGTCGGAGGCACCTCCAGACAAGGTAAATGTCATCCAAAGTATAAACGTGTATTGTAACTTATAAATAAAGAGGTGCCAAACTATTTGGCATACACTACAGCAAACGACAATGCATTTATTGACATCTGCACTTCACCAGAGACGGACACAAGAATCCCTTCTGGTAGTCATCTTTTCTTCCGCCAGATGGCAGGAGTGATAACGCCTGCATTTATGCTGTACCGCAAGGCTTCGCATTGGGCCTGGCGGGCGTCACGGGCCCAGCTTTGAGCACATTACTCCTGATCAATGTCCAATTTATACATTTGCAAAATAATTGAATGATGAAATGGGATTGATGTGGTGACCACGTGTTTCGCCTTCATGTAGGCAATGGAGATCTGTAAGGAAATGCAGATCTGATGCTATAAGTACCTACCCACTATAGCTCTCCTACTAGGATATTGTATAGGTAGGTACTTATTTCCTAGGTAGAGGTACTTACGAGTGGATATACTTCATGAAGGATAATACGTTTTGAGGCCTTATTCCTACTAACTGGCGACAACAGAGATGATGGCGAACCCCAGCATCTATATAGTGTTATTTGGCAAGTGCATCTTCTTATTAGTAGACGTCAGTATGTACCTTTAACGAAAACGCCCGTAACAAATTCCTAAACAATTGCCGAGGCGTGTGCATGCTATAAAATAGCCTTCATCAGCCTGTCAAAGCACTAAAAATATATTACAAATAAATAACACAAATTACCATTACAACAAATTACAGTACAACATATTACATTACAAATAAATAAAGCTAGTGTAAGAACAATTTTTGCAACACAATCTAACTGTCCCAGCTGAATAACATCAACATTGACAATAAGTATAGGTAAGCAATCTTACAGAAACAAGAAAATGGACTCGAAATAGGAAAAGATATCTGTCTTCATCAAGATATCTGTCTTCATTTTTATCCAGGGTTATTGACGCTGAATTCATAGAGATCTTATAATATTAAGATATTATAATCTTATAATATTATAAGATCTCTATGGCTGCATGCCCAGAATATGCTGGTTGATGAACAATTTATATGGGCTTATATGGAAACTGAGAATCATTTCGTTTTTGTAGTGAAACTCTTGGTGAAACTAAATCTATAACAACACAAATTGGTGAGCCTTTCCTTTTAAGCATGCATGAAAACTGCAATAAATGATGAATATTGGTCGGCATTCAACACAAACGGAGCATAAAACTGAGCACTTGCAAGCGTTCATTTATTTTGACTTTTGAAAGTGCCGCGCTTACAATCTGACGGGGATGACATGGGCGATATGAACTACCGTTCTGAACAGGCAATGTGGAGGTGCTGATTTACGACTGGCGCGAGCAAATAGCCGGCTGGAGGTCGGTGTGTGACATCGGCTGGACCCAGGCTCACGCTGAGGCCGTCTGCAGACAGCTCGGCTTCCCAGGACCCGCCGTCGCCACCAGACATGGACGCTCCGGATTCAGAAGCAGTGAGTGTGTGCTTTACGAGAGCAACATGGTTGCCTATCAGGTTCGGTTGTCTGTAAACGCCGGGTTATTATAATGACCCCGGAAAATGACACCATAAAATGACCCACAAGTGCTCAGTCTAGAGGATATGGTGCCACATAACAAGCTCATAAGTCACAACTCGCTCTAAGATCAAGAACATTACCCTAACTGTACAAGTAACAGACAGAAGCATGTGTCGAATTCTGTCTGCGGTGTGTTTTTTTTTTTACTCTGACTATCACTCTATAAATCTTATTGCACTATTTGCTGCCTACATGGATGTGGCGTACAACATCGATCAGAAATAAGTCAAGCCCATTCTGCCGCACATTCCCCATATGTGATTCCATCACTGTCTTTGACCTCGGCTGCCATTAGCCGGGTTCGGCAGCATGGTGAGCAACTGCCAGGTGGGCCGTCGTGGCCTCCGGGACTGCCTCCATGACGGCCTGGGCGCCATCGCCGAGTGCAGCTCGCGCAACGTGGCAGGCGTCATCTGCGGCGACGACCCCTCCACCGCCTTCAGTCAGGTACCCATACGAAAATCGAAAGATAAGAGAGGTATGATAAATCGCCTCCGTTAGGCATATACTAGAAGAGCACGGCCCTTCACCAGGTGCGAAAGGAAACCAGATAAGTCATGGCTCATACGCTAAAGCAATAATGTTCGATGGGACAAAAACATGTGGAACAAAGTTTGGAGATAAACTTTTGTATAGTGCAGTCATCATGCATGAATAAAAGGAAATAGTGTTGGCCGTTGGGTATCGGTGCCTTTGTTTCACACTTGCCCTCCCTTGTGCTCGTTTAACTCTTGCAGCCTATCGAAGTGCGGCTGCGCAATCGCATTGGCAGCAGAGGAGACGTCGAGGTGCGGTACGGCAACCGGGGTAAACATAAATATTTGAAAAATCATTCAGGTGCCAATATGATGATTTTTCATTTCACATAATCGACAAAAAACAATAATCAGCGGTGCAAATCGCTGTCACCCGCCTCAGTGGACTGTCAGTCACCGGGGCCGGACCATTTTCTCAGGCTGGGGGCCGGTGTGTGGCGATGGATTCGATCTGCGGGATGCCACGGTGGTGTGCCGTCAGCTGAACCTGGGAGCCGCCAGGAGGTCCTACATCAGCGGTGCGCAAACCTGCAGCGCCAACTGCAGCTTCTTGTTATCTTTTTTTGCATCGTTTAAATAAGTTTAAAACCTGCCAATGGGCACGCATAAATAAAACTGTGTCTGTATTTCATTTTTTCCTCATTGTGTGTAAAACAAAAGTGGAGCAAACAAGAACAGAAATACATCTTTAACCAGTTCTGCTCTTCGCGTTCAGGCTGTGGGCTGATTGATTGTCGTTTACGAATACCTATCTTTATTGAGCAACTCATTTCAATCTACCGGATCTTTTCTACTCGTACTATCTGTATGTGCTTACCCATCAGGCCGTCGAGCGAGCGGCGCGTTCATCCTGGCCGGAGTGGAGTGTTCCGGCCGCGAGAGCAGCCTGGCCCAGTGCCGCTCCGTGAGGGGCGCCTCGGTCCGCTGTGCCGGAAACCAGTTCAGCGGCGCAGCAGTCGAGTGCGCCGGACGACGGTCCCGCGGTAAGTACCCCGCCTCTGAGCGACTATGAGAGATGATGTGTTCTGTACAAACTGAGACCACACCTTATGCTGTGTGGAGCGCTGTATGCCGAGGTACGACAGGACGACGCTGACCTTTGGGTGACATGATCCGCCCGGCAGGCCTGCCTGACCTAGTTATCGACCCTGAAGAGGTCGAGAAGAGTGCCTTCATCGACAACCAGTCGCTGGGGTCGCTGACCTGTGCCTTGGAAGAGAAGTGCCTGTCCGACTCAGGTGAGATGCATGATCCAGTGAGAAGGAAAGAAAGAGAAAGAAAGAGAAAGAGAGAGAGAGGGAGAGAGAGAAAAGAGAGAGAGAGAGAACGAGCGAGAGAGAGAGAGAGAGAGAGAGAGAGAGAGAGAGAGAGAGAGAGAGAGAGAGAGAGAGAGAGAGAGAGAGAGAGAGAGAGAGAGAGAGAGAGAGAGAGAGAGAGAGAGAGAGAGAGAGAGAGAGAGAGAGAGAGAAGGAGAGGTCAAGAAAAAGAGAGATAAGGAGAGAGGGAACATCAGAGAATAGGGAGGAACCATTGAAGAAAGACGATGAGGGAGGAAAAATGGGATATTGCCGAAAAATAAATAGGCATTTTGTTAGATTTGACTTCCTAGTTAGACCGAATACTAGTTCAAATAGTCACCCCTATGATCTTCCCATAAGCTTGAAATACGTTTTCAGCATACCTGGTACGAGCGCGAGAGCCAAGACTTTGGAAGTCGCGACGACGAAAGCTACTCCGGTTTACCAACAAAGTGCAAAACATCGGCGGGAGTGACTACCGTCCCCACACCGACCCTGCCCAGTGGCAGTGGCACTCGTGTCACAGGTCAGTTCCAGTTCAGGTCTACCTCAGAAGACAGGTCAGGTCCGATCAGGTCGGTCTCAGCAGACAGGTCAGGTCAGTTCTGTCTTGGCAGACTGGTCAAGTCAGGCCCGTCCCAAGAGACAGGTCAGATATGTCTCGGAAGATAGGTCGGGCAGGTGAGCCTCAGTTGAGCGGACAGGTCAGGCTAGGTCAGTCTCAGCTGCACAAATGTGCTAGGAAGTCGTGATTTTGGGAACTCTTGATTTGCTCTGCGATCTTGTCGCACTCGACAAATGCAATGCATTATTTTCCTGTGGTGTGGAACACGAATGGTTGTTTCCATTTAGGCAATTTAATTGTCTTTGTTTCCTTTCAGCCACTTCCATAGCGTGGAAAGCTTCTCTGATTATGACCTCACTTACCCGGGAACAAACAGAAGGGCCGCTCAAGGACACAAGGCGTCATTCTGCTTGGAAGATTCAGAGTGCAAAGCAGGTAATTAGCAGTTATAGCTCTGCGTTCTGTGCGTACATAGGTACATATATGTGTAGTGTAATAATATGTTGTTTAACCCTCGCCCTGACAGGGCATTTTTTTATAACACAGCCTGGCAGGGGGGGGGGGGTCGATGCGACCCACCCCCTTGCAATAGGCTCCTATGGCACCTAGAAACACCAAATTTAGTAAGTAGGTGGGCCCCCTGTAGTTCTCGCCCCTGTGCAAATTTGGTTGCTCTAGGTCAATGTTTAGGGGGGTTTTGGGGGTATAAATGTAAAAATTTCACTAAAAACCGATCAAAAGTTTTTCGCTTATAACTATTGATCTAATTAAGATAGAGCGAAAAAAAGCACCAATAGACTCAGCACGTCAAGGCGCGTCGAATGATATACTTTTTAGCATGCTTAGGTGTGCTTAAAGTTTTTTTCTTAATTATAAAGTAAACTTTAATTAATTAATTAAGTTCAAGTTAACCAATTTGCATCATATCGCATATCATTCGATTCGGCTGATCACTAAGAACACAATGAAACCATTTTTAGGCTCTAGCGTCATTATGTGCCAAGTTATTGGCAAAAACGTCATTTTACCTCAGTTGACCTCATTTGACCTGACCCATGGATAAGTACTCAAAACAAAGAAGCACCAAGTGACCTGCTGTTAAGTACTGTGGTTTCAAAGCACAAAAGTGATAGAACGAAGCGGATATCTCCAGTATTTTCCGAATTTAGTATTTTCCCATAGGCTTAAAGGTAGTGTGCCAGCTTTCCTGGACCGTATGGAGTTAATGGCCCAGATAAGGAGAACCGGATTTTTAGAACTTATCCATACCTTCAAAACTCATGGAAACGTCTTAAATTCTTCAAATTTTGAGTACCCCAGTGCGAAATTCGCCCGGACGGGTTGTCGGTCGTACCCCAACCACATTTCACACCACTATGAACAATAAATGCACACACTGAAATCGCTATTACCGATATGCTCATCCATAGACCTCTGTTTACAGAGGTCTATGGCTCATCCAATCAAGTTTCGATAAACCCGTTCATCATCATCTCCTGCGGTTTCGAACACGCCTGTTAGGTGGTGCGGTAGACCGCGCTCAAAGCCAGGGCCCCGGTAACGTGAGGTAGCCGAGTCGGGGCAGTGTGCGCTGACCCAAGCCGGGGCCGCGCGTCCTCCCGGTGTCATGTGATAGCCCGGGGCTGCCCGCGGGGATGCGGTAGACCGCGCCCAAAGCTGCGGCCCCGGCTTGGGTCAGCGCACGCTGCCCCGACTCGGCTACCTCACGTTACCGGGGCCCTGGCTTTGGGCGCGACTTCTGCTCATACTTTGTGGTGCGGTGGTGGTGCGTCGGGCCGCGCGCTCTGACTTCAGCCAAGAAAAATGCGTCAGCTGATCATTGTCATTTCTGCCACTTGCGTGTGGTGAAATGGGGTCATAACTTAAGAGACGGCTTTTTCATATCAATTATTTTACATAATATCATATTTCAAACCATAAACCAGTATAGCGCCTTTTGGGGCGACTAACGGAGCGAGCGAGAGGGTGAGCCTTGCACGTGCGAAATTTCGAGGGGGTACCTCCAACTGACTTGTGCACGGCACCCTACTAACCGGTCTCTAGCGATGTGCCAAATTTGAGCACAATCGTCCCAGCCGTTCTCGAGATCTGGAAGCGGCACCCTGCACGTGCGCACGTGCAGAATGGGTCCCAACTGACTTTTGCACGGCACCCTACTAACTGGTCCCTAACCGTGTACCAAATTTGAGCGCCATCGGTCCAGCCGTTCTCGAGATCTGGAAACGACCCCTGCACGTGCGCACGTGCAGCAGCACCCCAACTCTGGCACATGGATATGCAGTGCCTAGTGGGTGCCTACCTACATGCCAACTTTCAGCGCAATCGGCCAAGTAGTTACCGAGATATTGCAACAATTATACAAAACTGACACCTCTTCGTTTTGCACGTGGCACGTGCATAAGGGGTCACCCGCATGCATCGGGAATAGTCCAATACTTGGTAGAAGGAATGAAGCTACCCTACAAAAATTACCGCGTGTAAATCGGTCAAGTGGTTGCTGAGATATAAGCCTCGCAAAAGCGTCCGCACGGCCGGCCGGCCGCTCATACTCAGAAATTTCCGTTAATCTAAGGAAAGACTACGCTCGCTTCGCTCGCTCCGTAATAATGTTCGACAGCCAAATAAAAGAAACAATACCAATACAGGCTTACAGTTTAAGGCTCGACATTGTGTTGTCTACGATTAGACAGCTGATAACTCATTCCCGTACGTCGTAACTCTATAATGACCTATGCTTATTGTCACATGTGCGCTGCATTCGCGATTGTTGCCGACGCCTGTTTGCAGGTCAGCCCACTACAGTTGTTATACATATCGAAAAACCGATAAACTTTTAGGCGAAAAAGGCACTATTCCAGGCCCATTTTTGATTTTTTTTTGCGATATTAGGTAAAAACAGAAGCTTCTTATCCTAGGAAAAATAAAATGGGAAATCTTTCAAAGGTGGCACACTACCTTTAACATTACGACGTAATGACCTCTAATTGACCTCAGGTCAGTGACATCACAAAACCCGAACTATATGTTATGCAACTCGGTGAACTTAGCACATCCTGAAAGTTTGAAGGAAATCAGTCCAAAACTGTGAGATGGACAGGTGCAAAAAGAAAATTGATATTTGACCATGACCTTGTACCGGTTTTTCTAACCTGGTGACCTGAATCAAGGTCACCCGGACATGAAATTTTCAGGTCATATGTAAAAAGGTTGCCCCATAGACTGTGCCAGCTTTGGCGGCGCTGCGCGCATCGAACCCCTGCCAGGGCGAGGGTTAAACATTTCTGCATCATTTACTTTCAACAAAGACAAAATGGTCTGATATTTCAGTTGGATTATGGATATGCTGTGAGGTGCATATTGAAACTGCCCCTGTGTTACCACTCGACATGAGGTGACCTTTGGCTCTCACGTTGTCCGTCAAAACACATTAGCCCTGAGTTCTTTCTCATTCTCAAAGTTACTTGAATGTTGGGAGCAGAGTGATGGTAAATACATAACCAATCGATAAAAAAGTGGCAGGCTGATTTGTTGGTACCGAAGCTGTCTCCATTATAATACATATAGTCACTATATATTTATACATAGTTGCTGATGTCACTTTGGGTACCCCTCCGTCTGTCTGATCTGTGTTGTCCTCACTCCCCAGGCATTCCCCAGAGGTACCGGTGTCAGATCGGCACCAGCCGTGAGCGGTTCCCGCAGGGTATCCGTGCCGGCTGCGCAGACGTCTACGCCTCCTACATCGACTGTCAGTGGATTGACGTCACTGACCTTCAGTCGGGGCCCTACACTCTGCGGGTCAGTGTTCGCAGGAGGTCGGCTAAAAAAGTGCCGGAGGAATGCTGCTGTTGTAATCCAAGAAAAGTTGAATAACTTGAATTAGAGAGACGGTAAAGCCATAATTTCAGCGGAGAATGAGGGCGAATAGCAAAGGGGCCGTGCATATCTCGGCTCATTCACGACCGATTCACACGGGACAAACACCGATCGACACCAAATGGCCGTTGGGGGAGGGGGGGGGGGGGGACGCGGGTGGCAAGTTTTCCTACCCGACAAACCTGGAATTATCCCGAAGGGAGGGGGCGGGAGTAGAGTCGGGAAACTGGGGGGGGGGGAGAAGAGTGGCAAGTTTTCCTACCCGACGAACCCGGAATTTTTCCGAAAGGGGGATGGGAGTAGAGTGGCAACTTTTCCTACTGCAAGAACCAAGCAAATACCAAGTACTTTGGCAAGTACCGAGCAAGTACCAAGTACTTTTGCAAGTTCAGCAAGTTTACATCTAACCGTCTAGACGTCTGATTGTCACCAAAAACACCAATCGATCCCAAATTTTTTCCCGAATCATTTTATGGCCAAAGCGACGCGGAGCGAGCGCAAGATATCTTGTCTCGTACCTACCTGCCTACATATGTAACAAAATAGCATATGTCATTTATCTTGAGTATTTTGTTATACGATTCAATAAAACATTCATTTTGTTCACACGGTCATTGAAATGAAATCAGAGCAAATGGATAGGCTTGACGGACATTTGTGAGACCACCTGCCTGAATAGCGGAAATACGTTATTCATCATCTTTTTTTCCGACACCGTCTCTCCCAATAGTGTCAGTTCCAATGGCCAGCACTGTGGGACTGGGCTTCTGCGGCGGCTTTGTTACGCCCTACATCATCTATCCATCCGTCCTGCTATTTCAGGTGAGGGTCAATGGTAACCGCATGGTGGCTGAGGAGAGTTTCGACAACAACCAGGTCATCTGCCGGGTCAGGCTGGACCTGGAGCGGGAGAGGACCCAGGTCTCCAACTGCCGATTGGCGCCGCTCTGAAGACGTGGCAAGTCATCTGCCGCGTCCGGCTGGACCTGGAGCGGGAGAGGACCCAGGTCTCCAGCTGCCGATTGGCGCCGCTCTAAAGACGTGGCGTGACAAACACTTACCCGAGAACGCCGCGTGATTTTATGTAACTAGAAAAGGCGAAATATACGAATTGGTCTATACAATGTTATGTTGGATGAATGGAATCGTGGAGAAGATCTTGTTTAGAAGCAGTTTGCCGTATTAACCCGCGCACCGACGGGGGTCTGCGCCAACTTCGCACCGACGGGGGGGGGGGCGGATGAACGCCCCCCTGAGATCTCGAGAACGAAGCAAGATAGCGACAAGCGGTAAACGGCATCGGATACGCACGGACAAGGTCTACAATTTTTACAAAGGTCATTTTCAGGTCAGGTCAAAGATGACGTCACAGGGGTCGAAAAAGTCAAAATGGCGGCGCTAGATATGGAGAGTTTTTCTCGAATAACTTTAGAATTAGTCAAGATAGGAACAAACTAAGGGCATAATCGTGATCCTCTCGTCAATCCGCATCGAATGATATATATGTTGACCTCGGAAGGTCAAGGTCAAAGGTTGACCTCAGGTCACGTGACCTCGAGGTCATCATGTATATCATTCGATGCGTCTTGACGAGCTGAACACAATGAGACCATCCGCGCGGTTGTATCTTGTTCCTGTACGGAGTTATTAGCAAAAAACCTTTGGTGACCTTTGATGACGTCACATGACCTTATAGCTGCCCAACAGCAAAACAGACCTCAAAGTAGTGAAGGTTGATCGTATATGAAGTCATGTATGGTATATGGGGCCATTCCGACCCGTTTTAGTGGTAAAAACAGGGAGTTGATTTTTCCCCCAAATGGGGAGGTCGCGAAATTGACCTGACCTTAGGTCACCGACATCAAAATTCCGAGATATACAAATTGTAGCTACTAATAACCTAATAACATCCTGCGACTTTCAAAGGCCTCCGACATCTACTGTAGCTCTGGCACGGTGACAAAGTTGCAAAAAAGTGACTTGAGGTTGAGTCATTCAAAGTGACCTGGTGACCTGACCTTAAAAGTTAGGAGGTTCAAACTTGCACACCATGTGTAAAATTGATGAGGGAATAGTCATAATAAATTTCGCGGCGCGTAGCGCCGCGGTTTTTCCGCTATCCGCGAAAAACCTCAGGGGGGGGCGGATATCCGCCCCCCCCGTCGGTGCGCGGGTTAACAATTCAAAATTCCTGAATTCCCCATAAAAAAATCATTCCTATATTGCAGAAAAAATATTATTGCATTAACCCTCGCCCGTATAGGGAGGGGGGGGGGGCGAACGGACCCCCTCCCCTCGGTTTTTCGCGAATAACTCCCGTAAAAAGCGGCTGATCACGACGAAACTTTCAGTACCCTCGCGTTACTCAATTTTACACCTACCCTGAAATTTTCAAGACCCTGACCCTAATGACCTTTGACCTGTTACCTACTTTTTGAGACCATGTTTGGCCGGAATCGCGATTCGGCGTATGTCGGCTCGCATTTGCCGCGCGTTTGCAGTCTTTTCGTGGTTTTAAGCGTTTAAACATGGAATATGATACTGCTCCCATGCATAAGGGTGGGTATCAAGGTCACCGGAAGGTCAGGTCAGGTCACTGACCTTTGATGACCTCGGCTCACTTTTTCGAGTTTTGCACGTTTCTAGGCCAGTTTTTGGAGCTGAATTTGAATTTACCAACCATATGAACATTTACGAAGTAGTTTTGGCACCTTCGTAACATGTTACGAAGCTGTCAGAGGCGGTTGCCACCTACTACGAATACCCTTACTGGTTGACCTGACCTGACCTGACCCGACCTGGCCTAAATGCATGAAGACATCATCTGTGATCAAAACTAACATGATATTTGTGATCAGCACCCCGAAAAACCCCATAGCAGCCACGCTCTACGACTTTCTAACAGGTCCCGATTTTCCCGACTTTTGGGTCATTGACCTGACCTGGAAGGTCAACCGATGACCTAGGACCTTAAAATTGGGCATCATCGGCTTCCTCTCGTCACGGGCAACACACTTGCTTTTTCCGCGAAGCTCTAGCTCGATCAGGGGCGAAACGGCAAGGAGGGTCCAACGGACCCCTCCCCCCTTATACGTTCGCGGCTGGAAAAAAACACCAATACGGGCGAGGGTTAACTCAGAATCTGATAACCGTATCCAATGGATGAATCACACCAAAGGGCTGAATCACACGCTCCCTGTAAGGCCAAGCAGCCACCGTATCGACCTTCCGTCGCTGAGACCGCGAGCCACAGGTCACGACATTATACGGTGACGGGGTGGTGGCCGAGGTGGGGTGTCATGTCTGTTGGAACGGGGGTCGTTCAAATACCCAGCAACGTCACCCTCGGTGGTTGTCGGGTCCGGTAAGGAGGGGTGGCCTCTGTTACGCCTGATGGTTAACTCATCATGTCCCTGATCGGGCGCGGGTCGCCCTCAGTGCGCCGGGTCCACTGAGCCGCGCGGAGGGCAGTGACGGCTGGTGGGCGCGCACGGGCCGTCCCGGCCGTCACAGCTGTCACGCGCGGCTCGCTGTGACGTGCCGGACGCTGACGGACGCCCCCGCGGCCGCCCAGTGACCACTACCCAGGTGTCGGACAGCTCGCGCGCAGTCCCCGCCCGCAGCCATGGATCCTCGGACTCTGCTGATCGTGACGCTGCTGGCCGCTGCCGCCAGCGGCCAGAGCTTCCGTGACATGTTCAGAGACATCTTTGGGTCGCTGAGCCGCCCAGGGAACAGCACCAGTGGGGGCGGCACGCGGACCTCCTTCTGGTACCCCGAATTCACCAACTTATTCGGCCAGCGCCAGTTCTCCGTCCGACTGGCCGGCAACAACACTCGTGAAGGTAACCACAACGATAACCGCAACCGAGCGGAACCACAACAGAACCGAGTCGACCGTAACCAAGTCAGGGCGGATATCATTTCAGAGAAAGTACTTCCAGAGACTGTTCAATGCACTCGTTCAACATGTGTTAACAGCATATTCTGTTGACATATAGATGCTGAGAGGCCGTTACGAATTTTCTTCATTACAGGACATTTGCCTATATTTTTATTGGCCAATTCGTTTATTGGTAAAATAATTAAAATCCATTCATGCAAAGTACAAGATGATAGACGAGCATAAGTCAAACTTAACCTTTTCTGAGCTATTGCCGTGAATATTGATGTGACGTTATAGGACTTCAGGAACAGATACATTGACATGGGTAGATTCATTTTTTGGGAAGTTCGGCCGGTTTGACACTTGACATTTTACGCGATAAGCTCTCCACTTTGAAAGCTGCACGTCGTGTTGAGCCAACGGCTTTCTACTGAAAATTATAACGTTAAACTATTGAAATGGCAACCGTTAAGTAGCTACAAGTTAATGAGCACGAATTGAGAAGATATTATCCCACAAGATGCAAAAATACTTTTGTATTGCGCCAAATTAGGCATGAGCTTTTAACCCGGCGGCCGCTGGGCCTCCGCGCCACCCGCCGGCCGCTGGGGGGGCATATAGTTGCCCCCCCTTTACTTCTGCGGCGATATCGTCGCAACGCGAAGAGATAGAGAAGCGAAACTTTGCACACATCTTCCTGAATACCTAGCCGAGGTTGTGTCCAAATTTGGTGTCGATCCCATTTGAAATGACGTCACAGTGACGTAAGAAGTCAAATTATAGATTTGCGACTCTCAGTTTCCTCACGATACATCAGGTATATGGGACCGAATATAAAGGGCCGATTATTGGTTAGGAACTAGATGGAAGTGCACTTAGATGTTTTAGGATGACAGCAGGTGCTGTCTAGTTCATTTACAGTTGAGTTTCATGCTCAGCGTTATCAGAAACGGTCCATATCGGAAAACGACAAAACTTTATGACGTCACTGTGACGTCATCTTAGATGCTACAACCACCAAACTTTCTTCAAACATTGCCTAGGTATTCGTTTGAAGCTATGCCAAGTTTCACGTTCGTAGCTCAACAGGTTTCGGAGATATTCCTCAAAACGTAAAGGGGGGGGCAACTTTATGCCCCCCCCCCCAGCGGCTCGTGGGTTAATCCAACACGGCAAGTATGCCCAATGCATTGATTTGCGCTTATCTTGTTACCGCGCAGTGTTACTTATTAAACTACCCGTTCTCAACGTAACAGGCCGCCAACAGTTCAAGACGATTTATTTTGCAACTCGTCTTCGCGCAGGTAGCGTGCAGGTGCTGATTTACGACTGGCGCGAGCAAATAGCCGGCTGGAGGTCGGTGTGTGACATCGGCTGGACCACGGCTCACGCTGAGGCCGTCTGCAGACAGCTCGGCTTCCCAGGACCCGCCGTCGCCACCAGACATGGACGCTCCGGATTCAGAAGCAGTGAGTTCATACACTTGATATGCCACTTATTTTTTTATAAGTATATTTACATCGCATCATTTTAAAGGTGGCATTTGTTCAGTCATAAACCTCTGTATACAGAGGTCTATGGTTCAGTCTATCAATAACGGATTATACCTATCGTCTGAGAAAATGCTGGCTGGATCGTCGAGAGGAGATCCAAGCCGCTCGCTGTGTATTGCGGGACCATGGGTAACAGAGCACGGCGCTGGTTGCAGACGGGATGGGTACCATAGTCAGCAACTGTCAGGTGGGGGCCGGCGGCCGCGGTCTGCGCGACTGCTTCTATCGCGGCGTGGGCACCACCGAGGGCTCCTGCAACTCCGACAACGTCGCCGGCGTCATCTGCGGCCGCGACCCGTCCTCGCCCTACGGAGGGGTAGGTCCGAAACTCTGGGCACTGGGCAGTCTGTAGTATTTAATGGCGAGGCAGTGCAGCGTGTGCCGCATTATTGGCATATTGCGGTTCGACTGGTATGCGTAGCACGATGTACCCTTGCTCGTAGATAAGAATTTATAAAGTGGATTATGTTTCTCAGAATTCTGTACCTCGGCAGAGGCAGTGCATTTCTGCTATGTGTTTGCACGCGTGAAAATGAAACATATTAAACCATAAATTATAGATTTGTAGGTATGGCGTTGATAATAGACTTTGTACTCCCGAACCGGATTTCATCAGTCATACCTACCTACCATTCATTGGCCTCGGCGTCTGTGTCACCGGTTCCACCACTAACGCTGGGAGACT